TGCCCAATTGCATTCTAGATCTTTGGCTGGCTAGGCTAGACACTGGCTTTCCATCTTTATTTTCCTCAGAGATTTTTTTCCAATCCTATCCAAATCACCACTTGCAGCTACTTTAATGTAGGTTGCTTCAGAGTGGTGGGTGTTTAATTTTTCTCCGCATGCTCTCTGGAGCACTCTGGGGGAAACAGCTCTATGGTTTCATCCAGCTTTTTCTGAAATGAGCTCAGCTGTTGGAGTGAGCAGAAGCTCATTCCAGATTTAACAGAAATAGATCAGAGAACTGGAGAACTAAACTGCTCCTCATCGTCCAAGAACCATCTCTTGCACTTCATACATCCCTCAGGAAATCCCATCTCTTTGAGCAATCTCTCCTCCCTTCATCTCATCACTATCTCAATGCCCAGACTCTCCAGCCCCAGAACTGTCGTCAAGTATTTTATCTTTTGTCTGTTTGTCTTGTTTTATATCATTATAAGCACTTTAGGACAAGAATCACTTACCTTTCTGAGTGTGTACAGAGCTGTATAAATTATTATAACATCATATGGCTCTGTGGTTTCACTGTTCCTGAATTGCTTGCCTTTCTGACTGGTAGCCCAAACCTGGAGTCACTAGAGAAATACCAGTAACGTCTCCTGCAGCAGGCTCATGTTAAATTTGTTGTACTTTCTTGTCAAAGGGACCAGGTCACTTCTTTTTAACCTGGTTCTGACAAGTCCTAACTTCCTTTTGGGTAGTGCTCAACCCTGGGGCTTCCTCGGCGGAAGTGCTGAGATTTTTTTTAATTTTTATTTTGGCAGCTTATAAACTGAACTGAAAGCTCTGCCCTCCCTTAGCCACGTCGGATATCATCCAATTGCTAACACGCCCTCATAGGTACTCACTTTATTTCTCTGAGGAACATCTTAGAGAAATTCCTCAGGCTGCACCATTACTTTGGCTTGACACAGGTGTAACTAATCTTTTTAAAGCTGCCTTTTTAGTGGACTTCTGTTTAGGCAGATGGGGGGGCTGGAGCTTCAAGCTTTTTCACTGCTCATGTTATCAGAATGAGGTAGTGATCAAGTCTGTTCCCCACCTCCCTAATTCTGTGTAGGTGGCTGAAAGGAGAAAGAAAAGACTCATCATGCACTTACTGCGAAGAGCTTTTCTTATGGACTCTACAGGAGAACTGGAATTTAGAAAGTCAAGTCACCTATTTATCCTTTTGAGAGGCTCCAAGGAAAGCCTGACAACCTCTATGCCTTGTATGTCTTATTGAGCGTGAGACTGCATTAAGAAAGCTTATGCTGTCCAAAACACTGAAGGTTTCTGTCATAGCTCATGCCTTGAAAGCCATCTCTTCCTCCTGGGCAAAGAGGCAATACTTCCCTTCTAGAGCTGAGCAATGTGGCTATCTGAACAGCCTCACATACTCTTTCATATCATTACAGTCTTGATGCAGTGGCTTCTGGAGATACTGACTGCAGCAGGTGGGTGATGTGTGCTATAATCCATCAGTTTTGCAGTATCTTTGGATACCAGCCTGCAGCTGTTCTTGCAGTGGGATTTGCTGTTGATGTTCCCTGGGCTAGATATATACTGGAGAATTGCAACTTCATACCTGTTAGTGTGATTTCTCCATGTCCCTCTAACCCAGCCCAAATTTCCCATTCTGCTTCTGTTGTTTTGGCAGTATTTTTATGAATGTGTATTTTGATGTTGGGCTTTCTTAGAATTGAATAGAATTTTTATTACTCGGGAATCCCATCAGTGGGGCAAGGCCAGCCAGCTCCCCCTTTATGAGGTTAGGGGTAGGGTGATGGCACAAGATTATTGCCTTTTTCTCATCTCCATCTGTTGGTGGGCGAACTTGTACTCCCTGCCTGAGGGTGGCACTGAGGGGCTTGAAGGAACCAAATAATCAGGTAAGAATTTCTCATTTTCTCTGCATCAAAGGCAAGAATGGTCTGTCTGCTCTAAACCCTATTGCTGAAATTGTCTATTTCTTTATCACTGCAAAAGATTGGCGTCTACTCACACTTTTTTTTGCATACACCATGTAAATAAACATTAGCAATTACATGTATAAAATTACTTATATATGGTAGGGTCCAAATCATAAAAATAAATATTCTTAAGGATTTTCATATGTCATGCTTTTAAAAAGTAAGAAAACTTTAGGTTGTAGGGGGGCTTGGTTTTGATTCTCCCCCCCCCCCCCACCTTCTATTCAAAATAGACACTTTTCCTTGTTTATAATAGGAGAAGAAAGAACCCTTAGCTGTAAATGTTTGGTAGGATATTTCTGTACACATAAATAACAGACCAAAAAAAAAAGAACATTATTAAGTTCGTGAAGTCAAGAACTGAAAAGTTAGGAAATACCAGAATTATTGTTGCCAGTGCATGTAAAGTTCCTCGTTTCCTCTATTCCACATAAAACCGAGGATCATTTTCAAAGCGGAAGAGATACAGGTTTGGCAAGAGGCATTTAGCCACAAAACCCTGTACTGGTGCATTATTAATCAAACATATCAATGACTAATTCCTCAATGGGTGGTGAGTGTGCTGTTTCTAAGGTAAAATATACTGCAAGTGTGCCAAATGGGGCCCTATTTTTCAACCATTTCTAGTGAATTTGTTTGTAAATTTTGGGCTACAGAATCAAGGTCCATGGACTTTAATATATGTGGGACCTGATTTTGCTTCCACTGAGATCAGTGAGAACTATAAGAACACATATTTGAATAGATAATTTTGTACCAATCTTCTGCAGTGTAACTGATCACAATGTCATTGATCAGCAGGTGCTTACCTTGAAGTATGGACATAGTCTGATTGACTTCAGTGAAACTACTCACATGCTTAAGTGCATTTCTGGATTGGTACCAGAGTTCTCAGTACCTTGTGGGACCATGCCCTAAAATTGGGGTTTTGCTTGAGGAAGGAGTACAGGATTGCGTCCCAGACAAACATTTAGGGCTTTATGCTCAGTTAAGATCCCTTGTCTACAATGGAACTACCCTCTTTTACATCAACTGAGGACTGGCCTTTTATTTTACAATGATTTTATTTTATTTCTTTTGCATTTTTAAAAAAGCTAAGGGAAAAAACAGGCAGTGATTAGATTTTTTCACCTCACTCCGGTGCTGCTTTGGTGGTGTGGACTGAGATGGGAATTTGGCAGACCCAAATTATTAAATAGTAACATGCATTGTTTGGAACAGTGGGTTTTAGACATGCAAATTTTAATTAACATAAAATATACCAGAATGTTTCCTCATTCTAATGTGTAGGATTCAGACTCCCTTAATTCCCATTGAGCCATGGCATGAGCAGACCTCATACTGCTCCCTTGGAGTAACTCCCCTTTTGCAGGCCTCAGGGGGGAGATTATTTAGCTCCAGGTCTCGCATGTAATCAGCTAGCACTGAGCATTGGATGGGACTTTTCTGCCCACTTCCTATCATTGATCTGCTGCAGAATGAGTTGGGAGGTGGGGGAGTGGGAGGGTTCCTGTGTTCACCTTTCTCAGGGGTGGCCAAACTGGGAGAAGGAGCCAGAATTTACCAATGTACATTGCCGAAGAGCCACAGTAATATGTCAGCAGCCTCCCTGTCAGCTCCCCCGCCCTGCTCCCAGTGCCTCCCGCCACTGGCAGTTCCGCCAATCAGTGCCTCCCCCTCCCTCCCCACACCTCCTGGTCAGCTGTTTTGTGGCATGCAAGAGGCTCTGGGGGACAAGGGGAGGAGCGAGGACAGTGCAGGCTGAGGGGAGGGGGTGGAGTGGGGGCAGGGCCTGTGGCAGAGCCAGGGGTTGAGTAGTGAGCATCCCCCGGCACATTGGCAAGTTGGCGCCTGTAGCTCCAGCCCTGGAGTCGGTGCCTAGCCAAGGAGCCGCATGTTCACTTCTGAAGAGCCGCATGTGGCTCCGGAGCCAGAGGTTGGCCACCCCTGACCTATCTTCTGCCTCCATCGGTCAACTGCTGTTGACCTATTCCTGGCCCCTCCAATCCCCATGGACGACTTCCTTCATCTACTTATCCTGCCTGACTTCTGGAACTGAAGTGCCTGCTTCAGGTTCTGGTTCCTTTAAAATGCCTACCCAGGATATGCCACACAGTAATAACTGCATCCATTTTTCCTTCTAAATAAATTACAAATTACCTTATTTATACTATGTTACACCTGTGTATTTTACACTACACATCCAATGAACTTTTGAAACACTCTGCACATCGCCTTACTCATTCCTTTCTCGGGACAAAACTCATCACTAGGTTTTGCAAGGACCAAGCAAGAAGTGCACAAATAGAGTCTTAAAACATTAGTGGTATCATCCTCGGCTTCATTGCTGAAACTTTTCTCTGTCAACTTCAGGCCTCATTAAAAATTAATTTAAGGCCAAAATTTCAAGAAAGTGCTTTGATCTGTGTCCAGGGCCGGCTCCAGGCACCAGCGTTCCAAGCAGGTGCTTGGGGCGGCGGTCAGAACGGGGTGGCAGAGCTTCCACGGCAGCAGCAACTCGGCGTCAGCTTCTCTCTCTCCTGCCATCCGCGGCGGCAAAAACAGTAGAGCCAGCCGTGCCTGTGTCTATACCATTTGTACATGTCCCCACTTGCACAGATACGTAGGCACACACGCACTTAGTCTCAGATCTGCCAAGACTTATGTCTGTACCAACAGTGCATAAAATTAAGTCATCCCATCGAAATCCTAGTGTAAGTCTTGGCAGGATCACGGCCTTAGAGACAACTCTTGAGCTCTGTACTGAGTTTTCACTCATAGAGTGAAACGTCTCCTAAGTAATGCCTGGGTAAGGATATCAGGAGTTGGCTTATGATCATCCATTTTATGTGCACAAGAAAAGTCTGCAAATATGGAGATTGTACACCAAAAGGGTTGTGCATGCAAACTTTACAGGCCCACTTTAGGATGCTATAATAAAAACATTGCTTCCCTTCTAGAAGAGAAACACAGAATGGATTAACAATTTTGACCCTGTCTGTTTTACCGTAGATCTCTCTCAGGACGAATTGTCGGAGGAGTCTGGTGGTTCTTCACACTCATCATCATCTCTTCTTACACTGCCAACCTTGCTGCCTTCCTTACTGTGGAAAGGATGGTCTCTCCCATAGAAAGTGCAGAGGATCTGGCGAAGCAAACTGAAATAGCCTATGGAACCTTGGATTCAGGCTCAACCAAAGAATTTTTTAGAGTAAGTAGTCTGGCTTACGGCAGCTTTGTTAAACCTCTCTCACAGTGTTCCTAAATAATAAATGCCTCATAAACAAGGCCCTGAGTCTGCAAGCACTTATACATAGGCTGAACTTCGAGTCTGTTAGTAGTTCTACTGACATCAGAATGGAGGATCAGAACCTTGGAGCAGCAGGGTTAGTTATCTGGGGTGATTTGAGTAGCGAGGCAGCTTCCTTTCAAAAATCCAATATTGCAAGAAGAGTTTTGGCTCCCCACTTTCAGAAGCTCAGCATGCTGTGCAGCAATATAATGGCCAACGTAACATTTACAATAAGACTCTTGGAGCAGCGACATTGGGTGTTTCACATTGCCAGCAGTCCATAAATAATAATTAGAGCTTCCAATTTTGGCCTGTCTTTGCCATAATTTAAAAAAGCAGAGTGGGAAGCATGCTTTTGTATTTTTATACGATAAATTGCATGCTGGAAATATCTCAGTATTGTACAGAAATCTGCTTCCTCCCCTCCCCCATTTAATAAGACAATGCTTATGTTGGGGGACCGGGGCCGGAGATTGGATGTGGTGAAAAATAATTTTCAGGATTTTTCATGGGTAAATATCTGTTTAAACTGGAAACCAAGGGCAAGATCTTCTACTGATGTAAATCAGCCCAGGCTCTGGCTCCAGAAGTACAAATTTGCACTAGCAGTCTGCCATGTAATCACTATATTCGCTGCTGTCCGTGACCAGAAGAATTTGGGAGATTGGATCATTTTTCCAGGTTAAGGGGCTGAGGGCCAAAACCCTACTCCTGCAATCCCACCAGAGTAAGGCTAGAGGATCAGTCCCCAGATGCTGTATGAGTGGCATATGCTAATAATTTAGTGGCGAATAATGGCCGTATTGTTGTGTTGGTAACAATTAGCTTGAGGAGCTTATCCATTTTAAGGTCACTGTCAGATATCAGGTATTTGCAGGGAATCCCAGGTGGCCAGGAATCAATTGTTGAAAGAAATGGGAGGTTCCTTCCTTACCATGAGCTGAATAGCACAGGCTCAGTGGAAGCCAAAAAAACCTCAAACTCATATAAACCAGATTTTGCATACTTAAAAATGTTATGACTTTAAAGTCCCTTCTGGCCTTTCCAGGCTGAATGGCTCTGCAGCTTTGATGCTATTTAGATGCACCTCACTTTTCCTACAGGAGAATTCTGCATCTGAATAGCTTGCACCTATGAATTATAGAAAAAGGAATTGTTAGGGAGAGTTCTTTGTTTTCTTAATAGTCTGATGTAATGTGCAAATCCCTTCTCAGAGCAAGATCAAAGGAGCAAGTGTTTTTTTTGAAAGGATACAAAGTCTAGTAAACGTATGAATACTTTATTGTGCTGATAAGAGTCGGGATGTTCTCTGACACTCTCCTCAAGCTAGGGGAAAGCAGGGTTCTAAATGAGGATGACCTATAAAGAGCTGCCAGCTCTGTCGAGGCATAAAGAAAAATGAAATGGGGTGGGAGGAGAGCAGAGTACTGGCAACCGTGGGAGCAAGCACAAAATTCTGCTTTATGCTAACACGGAGGACAAAAGGGGGAATTGGTGGCACAGAAACTGGGCCCTCTCAGTCCTTCATATGCACTGTAAGTGGCACTAACCGATCCTTGTCTACGTTTTACTTTCTTGGGAGCTCTGCATTATTTCAGTTGTACTATTAATTTCTAGAGAATAACCACTTTGCGTGTCATGATGGAGCATGGAACTGCTTGTTGTACCCAGTCTTCTTCCATTGATTTGAGAAGGAGAAAAAAAGTACCGGTATGTCCTTATGTAAACACACACCTTTAAGAAATATTTCATTATACGATCTCTATTAGCTTCCTAACTTGATAATAATGTTGGCTTCAAACTCAGAATAACTCTTCAAGAAGTTTGCAGTTTCCGAATGCCTGCTTCATAGATTATATTCACTCTGTGCTTTGGGCTTTATCTACACTAGGACATAAGAGCACTTTTCTCAGCACTGCTGGGAGTGACAGAGGAAGCAGGAGTGTAAGCTGGCCACAGGCTACAATGGTAAACGTGACTGTTCCCTATCTCGCCCTCTCCACATTAGTGCTTCCTCCTTTGTAACCACCAGCAGAGCTGCACCAGTGCCAGCCAGGAGTGGGCAAAGTGCTAACCATTCCCACTGTAGATGCATGAATAGAGAGATGGGGAGGTTAACAGACTTTGCAGCATTGGACCAGGAAGGACATAGTCTTAAGACCCATGACAGAAGCTTGCATGTGAGGGGTAGTTCTCTTTTCTAAGACACAAAGCTAAAAATGTCTGGAAACACTCCTCTCACAGTGGATTTTACTGGCTGGTGAATGGAGCCAAATGAGCAGTACTGGGGGGAAAGCCTTATTTTTCTCTCTAATGGGTACAGCACAAGCAAGTTTCATCTGCCCAATACCTTCGCTGCCTTTAAGGATGAAATGAGTTCGCAGCCCGTTCAGTCCTTGGCCTCTTTGCAGAGACAGTTGGCAAGGTTTCCAGTTAGTATTACTTACATTGGTGTTTTTTGTAACGTGGACATTTATGCACTGGGAACTGGATTGAGGCCAGCAACTCATTCCACGTGAACAGATGGTAACAACTTGAAACCACTTCCGCTCTGGGCAGGTTCCAGCCAGTGACCTATTTTATATCATTGACTGTTTCCTCACCCATTCCAATGTCTTCCAGCCAGACACCATCGATGCATATAGATCAAAGCTAACTGTAACATCCCTTTTTCAAATGAGCCTGCTGAATGCTGTCAGTCTGACATTTATTTCAAAGTCATCACAGCAGGCCATATTTACCATCCTAACTAATTGGTGTGCTGCTGTTTAAGGATATTCATTACCCCAGAATATCTAACAACCAAAGGAAATGTGTGTTTTTGATGATAGTCGCTTATCAGAAACGTTTAACAATTTTGCAATAATTAGCTTATAAAGGCATCATTTAAATGGCAATCAATGGATTTCATCAATTCCCAACATGATCTCAAAGGGCCTTCATCCCTATTGTAAGGGAAAATGAAAGGAAAAATCTCTCCTTGGAGATTTATTAACATAAAGACTTGCATTAAAGACTCAAAAATGTTTCTATCTTTCTCTAGAAAAAACTGCTAACCTGGAAAGCAATTTCAAAAATGTAGCTTCCTTCCTTTATGGGTTTTATATGTTAGAACCAACATCTTCTAATCCATTCAATTAAAGTTTCAACAAATGTGAAATGTTGAAAATGTTACATCAAATCAATATGGTGTAATTAATCTACATTCAGCACTGAAAATGTCTAATATCCCATTCTAATTGGTTTCAGAATTCCAATACGCATATATTCCGAAGAGGTGACCTTTACAACCAGTTAGTAATTCTTCTGTAAATGGGGCTGTACTGAAACTTCAGATGAAGAGGAAGTACACATTTCTGGACATTTACAAGTGTAAACTACTCTTCAATTCAGATGGCTTCTTTTAACTGATCACATGTGACAGCATTAAAGGGCTTAGCAATAGAGTTCTGCAAAACAATATGTATAGACCATTTTAGTTTAATAAGTTGTTGATAAACTGACTATTTAGATTTTACTGAAAATATTTGAAATGACATAAAGGTGTCAGTGCTTTAGTGCAATGTGGTGCTTTACAGAAGGACATACTGCTGTATGGGACATTTTGAATGATCTTGCCATCTTGCGTTTCCTCCTTTTTATAGAGAAACTGAAGGCATCTCCTAGTCAGACCGCTAAAACTGTGTTAAAGTAATGTTTGGGGGGGAACTGGCTGGGTCAAAGGATTGGTAGTGGGTCACAGAATCTTTCACTTCCGGACCACTGATTTGAGTCCAGTCAAGGAAACTAGCGAAGAAAAAGAAGTGTTACCATCTGATGGCTATTTGTTGCCCACGTGAAATGACTTGCTGCTCTATATCCTGTTCCTAATGCCTATCACAAATGACACCAATTGTCAGCTTTGTTAGATGCTTTGGCAGAGCTGCCCTCTCACTTCTACGGCTGGTTCTGGATATTTGTTAGCTGTTGTACAGGGAGGCTGACACTTGACATTGCTACTATCTGTGCTTTATCTCGGCTGGGAAAAGTGCGAGCCTCAAGGCCGTTGGAAGTCAAACAGACCAGCCAACACTTCTTCACTTAAAACTGAAATACCTTGAATGTTGGGTTTTTTTTTTTAAAGAAAAGAATGATTCATATTGGCAAAAGTCAGGGACATCAGAGCTAAGGCTGAAATCCATAGGTGAAATGCAGGGGACCAAAGAACAGGGAGTGACTTCATACCATATAAGCTGCAATGCTTAGACATGATTGGGTACACCAGGGGTGAATTTGCAGCCTTAGCTCTGACACGTCTCACTTTTGTGGGTTTTAAGCAAATGATTATGACTTTAAAGCAAAGCATCTACAATCTAAACTGGGCAAGTATAGGACGCTATTACAGCAAACGGTGTTATTAGCAAGCATAGGAACTGGCAGGCTGGATCAGCCACTATCCTGTCTCCGACCATGGCCAACATCAAATGCTTCAGAGGATGGTGTAAGAACCCCACAGTAGCCGATGTGGGATAATCTGCCTCCCACATTAGGCCTTGTCCTACTCCCTGTGGTTTTTTCTGGTCCTGCTTCGGGGAAGCCCTTTTGTCTCACTTCACAGGCCAGTTTTCATCTTCCAACCCCAAATTTTTACTGGTACTGTTTTTTCATCTTATGTCTTCATGTGTACATTAAGAAGATGTCCCTTCTTAATGTGAGCATGTGTGCCCATCATGTCTTCACTCTATCCCATCGCTTCTTGACAACCCATTCCTTTCTAACTAATATTTTGCCTGAAAATTTTCCTATCTTACATGGTTTTGTGGATGCACTGAGCACTTGGACCTCCCTTGCAGCAATTTCCACAGAAAGCTACAGATACTGCAGTCTCCTAGTATGTGAAACCAGGCTCAGAAATGAAGCATTTCTGTACTAACCTTCTA